GAGGTCCAGAAAGAACCCTCATCCCTGCCAAAGTTCCAATGATCCTAAACGTCAGAACCTTGTCTCCAAAATAACATGGCATCCTCTGATTTTATCATTTTCTAGGCTCTTTGTACATTCAGAAAGGATTATGGGGACTTCTTTCTTCCCAAGCCCACCCTGTACATGCCAGGCAGAGGGGAACTGGCCTTTCAGAATGAAGTCCTCCAGGATTCCCACTTGTTGATTTGCTTGGGCTGGTAAGCTCAAATTTGAGTTCTGACTCCATGTGCTCAGGAGCTGGGCACTGAGGTGGGGAGGGAGGAGCAAGGGTTGGGGAGCAGAATTGTTGCCCAAGATGTGACTCTTTCTGTTCTCAGAAGAGGACAGGGAGGCTGATGAAAGGGGGAGCAGGTTTTCCATGCCAAGTACAATATGAGAAGGACAAACCAGCTTCACATTCACTCTTGGAAGTCTTTCTCCTCCCATTGTGTAATGGTTAGCCTCAAACATTTACCAACCCAGCACAGTCATTTCATCAGGGACCTTTGGTCCAAATAAAGGCGCCAGAGGAAGGAATGGACAGGACATACAACTACCAAAAATGTGAAATGAATCAAATCACAGGCTTTTCTCCAATGACCCAAGGTCCCTAAGGAGTACTCTGGTCTCATTTCACCCCAACTGGCCCCTGTCTCTCCAAACTTCCTAACAAGCTACAGAGTTGTTCCCTGCCTGAGTTTCCATCTGCTTCTCTGTGGCTGGAAAAATGGAAAAACACCAGGATATTTCAAAGAGATCAGAACACAGCCAGAGCTGTGTAAGGCAGCACGTACCATCTGAACCAACCAATCAGAGTCTTAGAAACCAACAGAGAGCTAGCAGAGGAGAAAGCCCAGGCCAAATCCCTGGCATCCTGTTTAAGCCACTACCATCCATCATTGCCATTTGCCAGTGATTAAGTGTCTGCTGTGTGGCGGGCTGACAAAGGAGACTGTCCATGAGAGGGGCTGGCAGGAGGCTCCGTGACAGAGCTGCGGGAGCACTGGTCGGCGGTAATGCGTTGCCTCAATGTGTGAGCCTGAACAGGTGGCTCTCCCAAAGTGGGCCTCGTGTGTGTGAAAGGCAGAATAATGCCCACCGCCACCACCAAAGACATCTATGTCCTGGTCTCCAGAATCTTGAATATGAAAAAGGAAGCATGACTCAGAGGGCACAGCCAAAAGAAGAGAAGGAAAAGGAACTTTGCAGATGTGACTAAAGTCAAGGACTTTGAGATGAGATTATCTGGATAGGCAGGTGGGTGTAACCTAATCACATGGCTGTAACCTGATCATGTGGCCCTTAAAAGTGAAGAAGGCTGCTCGAGGCCCCGGGTTTAAAAAAAAAAAAGTGAAGAAGGCAAAAGAGTGGGTCAGAGAGATGTGACATGAGAAGGACTTGATTTACTGTCACTAGCTTTGAAGATGGAGGAAAGGAGCTATGAGCCAAGGAAGGCAGTGGCCTCTAGAAGCAGGGAATGGCCCTCAGCTCACAGCCAGCAACAAAACAGTGACCTTGGCCCTATAACCACAGGAACTGAATTCTGCCAACAACTCAAATAAGCAGGAAACTGATTCTCTCCTAGAGCCTCCAGAAAGAAATACAGCCCGATGACACCTTGATTTTATTTTCACAGACCCATATGGAATCTCTGATGTGCAGAACTATAATAAATTTGTAGGCATCTTTTTAAGCCCCTAAATTTGTGGTGACTTGTTATAGCAGCACTAGAAAACAAATACATACGGTATGATCCTGAGTAAGTCACTCTTCCCAGCTGGACCTGGATTTTACTGTCCATCAGTTGGAACGGATGGACAGGGTGATCTCGAAAGGTCTGGCCAGCTCTCGAAGACTGACTGCCCTCCTGACATCCAACCTCCCCCACAGCCATGTCCTCAGTTCCAGGATGGTCTTGGGTTGAAAGTTGTTAGAGAAAAAACAGAAAAGAGTAAAAGGAAGAGAAAACTCATCTTTAAAAAGCCCAAAGGTATTTCCTAAGGCATCTACTACCTTAGGAAACAAACAGAAAGATTTCCTGTTTTGCCGCTTGCTAATTCCTTGATCATACCCAGAAGAACGAAGTGGGAAGTCTGGGAGAACCGAACGAAAGCTCCAGCATCACCTGGTAGGGGTGTCCAGAGCACTGAGTTAAGAAGGAGTCCAGGGCCTGGTGGTGGGTAAGGAGCAAGGTACTAATTACGAATGTCTGCCTGGGGCAGGGGATTAGCAGTGGAGACTTTTATGCCAGGTTTGCGTCATCATTAATTGAAACTAATTTGAGGAATCCATTTCATTTTCTCTGTCTCTTCTTCTCCCGCCTCTGTTTCATTTTTCCGGAATGAATATAGCAAGAAACATCCAATCAGCCAATCAGAGTGCAAATCAATAAAATAAGGAAGCTTTAGCTCTATACAACTAAGCAATTTAAAGTATATGGTTTAGACGCTGAATCTGGCTTGCTGTTGTTTAATGGGCCAGGCAATTGTACTTCTGACCAATTCCCCTTCCTAACTACCTACATCTTAGCCTTTACTGCTAGATGTCTCCATTCTCTCTTGAGGTTCACCTTCTGTTTCTCTAGTGAGTTGGAAGGTACTAGGTCTCTAGAGTTCCACTAGAACAGTGTCTATCAAATTCTCATTTAACTTCCCCCAGGTCACCCTGAAAGTAAGTGACAGAGGCAAGATCTGAACCTGATACCCACAATTCCAATGAAGTTCAGAGGACAGGCCCTGGAGCCAGGCTGCCTTCGTTCAAATTACAGCTCTGCCACTTACTTTCTGTGTGATCACGGGCGAGTTACTCTCTTTGGACCTGTTTGCTCATCTGTAAAATGGAGGTGATGACAGTCCCTCCCTAACAGGATTGTAGTAAAGCCTAAATGAACTAATACAAGTAAAATACTTGGAGTTATGCCTAACTTATAGTAAGCACTCAGTAAATGACAAGTATGATCATTATAACATCATTCAGCTTACTGGGCCAGTCAGAGTTTGGGAGGACAATATAGGGTGTGGCAATGCTAACATTTACTCCTATACTCCAATAAACTGTGTTTGTGAGTACACATGCCTATTTTTTATGCCCTATCAGATGACATGTGTGGTAGTGTAAGCCCAACCAAGATATCCTCTTTCCTTGGAAGTATTTCCTTTGTTTGCATGTTTCAATCCATAGAGGAGAAGCAGAGGCAGTGTTTAAAGAAAGATTGGAATATGGCTGGGAAAATATCTGAGGCTGTGACTGGCCCTTATCCCCTTGGTCTGTCACCCCCAAGGGCCCAGGATCTGACCCAACCGCAGGCCCCCAGGGTCTCTCATTTGTTTTGTGTCTCTAACACCCCACCACAGCTCAGTGGTTTTCTGGCTGTTCTCTGGGATTCCCCAGACCTTTTGAGGCAGGGAGCATCAGTTCTGAGGTCGGGAGAGGTCAATGTGTGGAAGACTTCATGAAGCACGACTTGTAACCCCCACAGCATGATTCACAAACCGAGGACAACTGGGAACAGGAGGTCCCAGTTGGGGCAGGAAAACACTTTTTGGTTTTTTCAGTTGTTACTGCAGAAGCACATGATGTCCTGCCTTGCGTGTGTCTAGAGGGCTGTGCTGTCTTGCCTGTGTCTAAAGGACTGATGTGCCGCCCACATAACCAAAGAGCATGCCATGCTCAACCATAGACAAACAAACATCTGTTCCACACCCGCATCTTCATTTTACAGATGTGTGAGGGCATGGTCCAGAGAGGGAAAATGCCTCCATCAAGGTAACTCAGAGGGTTTCCTGACCCCCAGAGAACCGTTCCTCCCCCTCCCACCTCCACCCCATTCAGGCATCCCCAATCCTTCCAAACCAGGTGCCCACTGCAGTGGCACCAGGCATCACGGCAGATGTTCAAGGAATCTCTGATACTTGTGCGACTGCGCAGCCTTCACCACCACACCCTGGAGCTTTCAGGACCTTAGTATTCACTACAGACACACGGGAGACGACTCAGCCCTCAGGGGCAGCAGGATTCCAGCTGGTCCAGAAGAAACAAGTGCAGCTGCATGAGTAAGAGCGCAGCCTGGCGCTCAATCAAAATAACAGTCCCTGAGATTTGAATGGATTTGGGGGGTTTACACCTTTCATCCTTTCACTCAGTAGGTATGTATGAAGCACCTACTGTTAGCCAGGCCCTGTGCCAAGAGCTGAGGATGCCTCAGAGATGAGGATACACAGGCAGTCCCTACCCTCAAGAAACTGGCATAGGGGAGCGCAGGGAGCAAAAGAACCGGCAACTGGAACAACTACCTCCTCAGGAAAGGGGCAGATAACCAGCAGGAGGGAAAGTGAAGGAAGGCTTCTCTCCAAGATACTTTTCTCACTTTCTTTCTCATTTGCTTTCTGCACACAAAACAAACACAAAAACAAAAATGTTTTCCCCATTTCACTGATGGAAAAACAAGGATGGTAAAGCAGCTAGTGACAACCAAGGCTGGAACCCGCCACTACGGACTCCAAACTCCTGGCGCCTTCTACGCGGGACAGAGAAGCAGCTGTCTTGAGTCGTGCAAAGACCCAAATCCAGCGCAGCGCCCAAGCAGGTGCTCAGGCCCGGGCGCTGAACCCTGACGCTGGGCCAGGAGGTGGCAGTGCGCCCGAGGAGGCTTCCTGAGAAGGCAAAGGCAGGGGACCCAGAGAGAAGCCTGTCTCCGAGTGGGGCTGGGGCTCGCCCACCCAAGCTCCGCCTCCCCCAGGCCCAAAATTCTGTGCACGAGGTGGCTCGAACTTAAGGGTTGACAGCGGGAGAAAAGGGAGGAGGGGGTGAGGGGAAGAAATGCAAAAGTGATGAAGAGGGAGACATGGGAGAGGAGAGAGAGGACATAAAGAAGAGAGCTGGGAGCCCTGGGGAAGGGGCCGCACGAGAGCGAGGTCGCGAGTCCGAAAGGTTCGGCTCTGCCAGAGTCCCACAAACAACCCGCCGGTGGCCCCACTCACCCCAGATCCCGGCGAGTCTGCGGAAAGTTCCCAGGGTAGGGATGGCTCGGTGCTTCTCAGGGTCCCCAGAACCGCACGGGATCTGGAGGCTGGAAGCGACCCCCAGGCCTGGAACCTCGGCTCCAGGCAGCGCCCGGAACTTGCCCCGGCTCCTCCGAGCCCCAAGACGCGCGGCTGGCTCTGGAATGCGCGGCCGCTGGGGACCGCCCCCGGAACGCCCCGGCCCGGGGCGCCGGCACACCCGGCTCAGCTCCTCCTCCAGCGTCCCCTGCGGGCTGCGGGGAGGAAGGAACCTGCGAGGACAGGAGACACAGGGCGTCTCGGGCTCCCCTCCCACCTTGCACACACTCGCTGCGTGGCCTTGGACAAGTCACTCGGCTTCTCGGGGGTCTCCGCTCTCTGGATTGTAAACCGAGAGGGTTGGCCTAAAATGTGTCCTCCAAGACCCTTCCAGCTGTAGTCTACACGTGGGAAAGAAAGTCTAGCAAGTGGATTTGGACGGAGGAGCCCGGACTCAGATCCTGCTTTGCAATGTCGGAAGTGTGGGGTCCTTCGGAGGCTTTGCCTCTCTGTTTCATTCTCTGTAAGGTGGGAAAGGTAACACCTGTCTCCCAGCCCTGCTATGAGGATTGGTTTAGAGGACCAGTGTGAAGCTGCTTGATTCTCTGCCAGAAGATGACTTTGAGCATCCTGTTTATTTTGTGATAACAATGAAATAGCCCAACCCAAGGTGATCAACAGCCCAGTAGAATCCAGTATCTGAGAGGCTTCCCAGGCCACTGTGGGTGGCCCAGCTTCCACCCAGGACATTGCCAATTCTGCAATCTTCTGTCCCCTCCATGTGATCCATGGAGCGCCATCTCGGCACCAACACTTTTTAATTTACAGAAGTTTTCTTTAATCTTACTCTTCTGAATAAAGGAGCCCAAGCCTTGACTATCAGTGAGACCCTAGGCAGTCTTGGAGCCCAGTTGTGTTTTGGAGAGTTTGGAAAGAGTCAAACTGTCTTCCCCAGGCCTAAACTTGATACGGTGTGGGCCCTGAACTTAGAACTTACTCCCTGCTGTTTCCTCTGATTCAGGGATGAGGTCAGCAGAAATTACCTCTAAATCATCATTATCAGATACCATCTTCTTAAGCCAAGGACAATGAGGATAAAGGGGATTCACATGGGAAGTGATTTGACAAAAACCCTAAGGGCTGTCACTCAACAACATGTTTTATTCAAAAGAGATAATGTGGGATCCTAAAAACAAGGACAACCCAATTCTGAACAGTTTAATACAAAACTCTTATTTAAAAAAAAAAAAAAAAAAAAAAAAGAGTTGAAGGAGGACAGTCTTTTTTTAATTTTTTATTTTTGAGATGGAGTCTCACTGTGTCATGAGGCTACAGTGCAGTGGTGTGATCTTGGCTTACTACAACAGGAGGACAATCTTAGTACGACGTTTTCCCTGGTTAGAAAAGTTCCTTTGGGTGGACAACTCGTAACTCCATGTGCCCTGCCGTGAACATTGATTTCCCTCTGAGACGAGGGGAAGCTTAGGACTGGAGCCAGCCAAGGCCTAGTCTCCCTTTCCATTTAGCAGTTTATTAGTATCTCTTTAACATTGACTTGCCCTGGGACCCTAAAAGAATCCAGAAATAAAGTTTGAATCCCCATGGGATCATACCATGTTAAGTCAGCTGCCTTGGCTGGACTGATTTTGCTAAGAGAGCACTGAAGGGAAGAATAACAGATGCTGTGTTGGGATGCAGAAGAAGGGAAAATAGCCAATTTCAGCAATCAAGCTTTTGTTACCGCAAAAGCCAGGGAAGACTCACAACTTCCTTGGTCCTCTATGACAACTATTCCAAAGAGAAAACCATCAGGATCTCAAAGAAATAATACTCTCTCAGAGAGCCCCTGAGAGTGGGGGAAACTCGTACAGAAGAAGTTGTAGTCTAATGACATTGGCTTCCATCAAAACATGGCCTTGACCGGGCGCGGTGGCTCATGCCTGTAATCCCAGCATTTTGGGAGGCCAAAGCAGACGGATAACCTGAGGTCAGGAGTTCCAGACCATGCTGGCCAACATGGTGAAACCCCATACCTACTAAAAATACAAAAACTAGCCAGGCATGGTGGCAGGCACCTGTAATCCCAGCTACTGGAGAGGCTGAGGCAGGAGAATCGCTTGAACCCTGGAGGCAGAGGCTGCAGTAAGCCAAATTGCCCCACAGCACTCCAGCCTAGGTAAGAGAGACTCTGTATCCAAAAAACAAACAAACAAGTCACTGCCTAAAGGGGCAGCCATTAGGATGCAATGCATAGCAAATACCCTCTCTAGGAATCATATCTACACAAGACTTGTTATTTTCATTTTTTACTTGTACAAATATATTTATTTAGTTGTGGGGAATAATATGATATATTGTATTAGACACCAGAAAACCAGAATTTTGAGTCTGTCATCCAGTAGCTAAAGGCTGATTAACGTCTCAGTTTCCTTACTTTTAAAAACAGTAAAATGGGACCTATTCCTCACATCTGGTACAATTATGATGAGTAAAGATTTTATTCATGTACAGCAGATCCCTGAATCATATCCTTCTGTTATAACGTTGATGAGGAAAAACAATTGGTTCCCTGCTGGGACCACTGTCTGTGTGGAGTTTACATATTCTCCCCATGTCTTCGTGAGTTTTCTTCAGGTACCCGGGTCAGTTTCCTCCCACGTCCCAAAGATGTGCATGTTAGGCAGACTGGCATGTCTATGTAGTCCCAGTGTGAATGACTGTGGGTGTGTGTGAGTGTGCTCTGTAATGGGATGGCGTCCTGTCCAGGGCTGGTTACTGCCTTGAGCCCTGAGCTGCCAGGACAGGCTCTGGCCACCCGAACTCTAAACTAAAATAAGCAGATAAATAATTTTCTTCCTTATTTTTACTAATCTTTCTTAAATGTATGTATGGCTCACAATTATTTCAATGTTCAATAGTGGAAGTGTTTTAGTCTTTATTTAGAAGTTTGGTGGTTTTTGTTAGTAGAAATATGCTGTAGGAACTTAACTCTTCTTTATGTCCATTTGTCTACGGTAAAATTGGTTTCCTCATATATAACTTCACTTAAAATCAAAGTTTCCGGCCGGGCGCGGTGGCTCAAGCCTGTAATCC